TCCACGGGGAGCATAGCAGAGTGGAGGGTAATACATAGAAGAATGACGAAAGAAGTTCAACAGCCTCTAAGCGCAAAGTAAATGGAACGTTGAGAACAAACAGTCCCATCTTTTTTGGGATGATCGTAAGCATTGTAAACAGCTGTGGAGAGGACACAAGAAATTTTAAAAAGAGTTCGTCAGCTGATACCGGGAAGAAGATGATGATGGAACCCTTTTCTTTTGACAGCCTACAGTAACCTTATTTGTGGACGGTATCTCGTGATGGAACAGAAATTCGTTATGAAGAATCTGTCGCTAGCAATTTTTTGCCGGTCAGGTTTCCAAAACTTATCTTTCTCAACCCATAGGTATGAAATCAGGCATCTGTGCAATTGCAGCTCCGCTAGCCCCTGAAGGAAGAGTTACAGTAAAGTTATTGTGGAATGTGTCATTCAAATAACACTCACTACCATTTGGCACGGTCTTTTGTTTTCATATTTCTCCATATAAACTTTTTGAAGAAGAGTCAAGGAGACCACCCAGTCAAAAATGCGGGCAGATATTGCTCAGAATTGTATTGGGATAAGCACTCACTCTAGTTAGCCACTAATCAAATGATCCCGGAAATGAAGTGGCTTGTGCCACTATGCGATCATTTCTGCCCATAGAACGAGGGAAGAGGAAGTTGTATAGGTAAGGGTAAGTCAACTCAATGCAGGTCGACTTTTTTGCTAGCTCACCACAGCTACATTTAGAAAAAAATGACGGCAAATGATTAGCTGTTAGTCGATGTGTAGTCCTCGATATTATCGACCACCGATTGTGGCTGAAAAACAATGGCATACTTAGAACATAAAGTGAATGAATACATTTCGCGAAAAAAGGTGTTTTCCGAGATCTCCAGCCAAGGCAAACGTGTATACCGAATATGCGGTGCTTTGGGGCAAAAAATGGCTTGACAAGGCGCAAGAAGGACCCAAAAACATGCTTCATCGACGCTCACACCCAAAGGCGGACGAGTTTCAAGGACGAGAGGTTGTACCATCCACATCTTAGAGAATCGAGCAACTTTTCGTACCCAATGGCGGAAGTAGTTTTGGACATTTTAGCTCAATGTAGCAGCTTTTTACGCAATTGTAACCACTGGAGTCTCGTCCAAGTATCCCTTGAGGTCATTTGGGTCGAGGGAATCGCGTACAACCCTCTACTTCCTCTACTGTTATAATCGTTCGGTTTCATGAAATCTGCGGAATTTCTCCCTTTCGTCGCCACCATGTGCTTCTCCGTTAAAACCTCTGCTTTTATCATCAAAAGCCTCAAAATTATCGCAAACCAGTCGGGCCGCCCGGCTAACGCCAAGCTTCCCTCCTTCTTATGGTGTCGCCCGGCTTCGCCGGGCGCTCCTCCTTTTTGTAAGAAATTTTCTTTCCCTTG